CGCCGTCGCTGTCGCCCTCGCCGCCGCCTCCGGCACCGCCTCCGCCGGCCCCTCCGCCGCCCTCGCCGCCGCCGCCGTCGCTCTCGCCCTCGCCGCCTCCCACGCCGCCGCCTCCGGCACCGCCGCCGCCGGCACCGCCGCCACCTCCACCGTCAGCGTCGCCGACACCGCCACCACCTTCGACCTCGCCCTCGCCGACGCCGCCACCGCCGTCACCGCCACCGCCGTCCGCTTCGCCGAGCCCACCACCGTCTGCAACCTCGGCCTCACCAACGCCGCCTCCGCCGTCACCGCCACCCGTCATCATCATCGTCGGCGGCGGCGGCGGCGGCGGCGCGCCGTCGCCACCGCCGTCCCAGCAGCCTTTTCCTCCGCCGGCGTGCGTGGTCAAGATCGAGCTGGTGCTTGTGCTGGACAAGAGCGGGTCGGTCCAGGCGGAGCAGTCGTCGCTGCTCGCCTTCGCGCGCGAGATGGTGTCCCAGTTCAGCCTCGACGCGACCGAGGGCGCCCGTGTCGGTATCGTCGAGTTCTCGAGCGACGCGGCGACGCTCACGCCGCTGACCGGCTCTCTGAGCGAAGTGCTGACCGCGATCGACGGCGCGTCTGCGGCAGGGGGCGGCACGTCCGTGTCGGACGGCCTGGAGCTCGGGCGAGTCGAGGTGAACCAGGGCGCGCGCGCCGACGTGCCTCGCACGATCCTGCTGCTGACGGACGGCGTGCAGACGGTGGACGGCAACGACGACACGGCCATCGCGAAGGCGGCGGTGGTGAAGCAGGACGGCATCTCGATTGTCGCGGTCGGGTTTGGCGGCGCGAATGAGCAGACGATGCGCGCGATCGCGTCGGCGCCCAGCTCCGACTTCGCCTTCTTCGGCGCGTCGATGGACGAGGTGCGGCAGCACTTTGCGTCGGACCAGCTCTGCGAGCTGGCCGCGTCCCCGAAGGCGCCGCCGCCGCCTCCGTCGACGCCCGCGCCGCCAGGGCTGCCGCCGTCGCCGCCGTCGCCGTCGCCCGCGCCGCCGTCTCCGCCGGCGTGCGTGGTCAAGATCGAGCTGGTGCTTGTGCTGGACAAGAGCGGGTCGGTCCAGGCGGAGCAGTCGTCGCTGCTCGCCTTCGCGCGCGAGATGGTGTCCCAGTTCAGCCTCGACGCGACCGAGGGCGCCCGTGTCGGCATCGTCGAGTTCTCGAGCGACGCGGCGACGCTCACGCCGCTGACCGGCTCTCTGAGCGAAGTGCTGACCGCGATCGACGGCGCGTCTGCGGCAGGGGGCGGCACGTCCGTGTCGGACGGCCTGGAGCTCGGGCGAGTCGAGGTGAACCAGGGCGCGCGCGCCGACGTGCCTCGCACGATCCTGCTGCTGACGGACGGCGTGCAGACGGTGGACGGCAACGACGACACGGCCATCGCGAAGGCGGCGGTGGTGAAGCAGGACGGCATCTCGATTGTCGCGGTCGGGTTTGGCGGCGCGAATGAGCAGACGATGCGCGCGATCGCGTCGGCGCCCAGCTCCGACTTCGCCTTCTTCGGCGCGTCGATGGACGAGGTGCGGCAGCACTTTGCGTCGGACCAGCTCTGCGAGCTGGCCGCGTCCCCGAAGGCGCCGCCGCCGCCTCCGTCGCTGCCCGCGCCGCCAGGGCTGCCGCCCTCGCCGCCGTCGCCGTCGCCTGCGCCGCCGTCTCCGCCGGCGTGCGTGGTCAAGATCGAGCTGGTGCTTGTGCTGGACAAGAGCGGGTCGGTCCAGGCGGAGCAGTCGTCGCTGCTCGCCTTCGCGCGCGAGATGGTGTCCCAGTTCAGCCTCGACGCGACCGAGGGCGCCCGTGTCGGCATCGTCGAGTTCTCGAGCGACGCGGCGACGCTCACGCCGCTGACCGGCTCTCTGAGCGAAGTGCTGACCGCGATCGACGGCGCGTCTGCGGCAGGGGGCGGCACGTCCGTGTCGGACGGCCTGGAGCTCGGGCGAGTCGAGGTGAACCAGGGCGCGCGCGCCGACGTGCCTCGCACGATCCTGCTGCTGACGGACGGCGTGCAGACGGTGGACGGCAACGACGACACGGCCATCGCGAAGGCGGCGGTGGTGAAGCAGGACGGCATCTCGATTGTCGCGGTCGGGTTTGGCGGCGCGAATGAGCAGACGATGCGCGCGATCGCGTCGGCGCCCAGCTCCGACTTCGCCTTCTTCGGCGCGTCGATGGACGAGGTGCGGCAGCACTTTGCGTCGGACCAGCTCTGCGAGCTGGCCGCGTCCCCGAAGGCGCCGCCGCCGCCTCCGTCGACGCCCGCGCCGCCAGGGCTGCCGCCGTCGCCGCCGTCGCCGTCGCCCGCGCCGCCGTCTCCGCCGGCGTGCGTGGTCAAGATCGAGCTGGTGCTTGTGCTGGACAAGAGCGGGTCGGTCCAGGCGGAGCAGTCGTCGCTGCTCGCCTTCGCGCGCGAGATGGTGTCCCAGTTCAGCCTCGACGCGACCGAGGGCGCCCGTGTCGGTATCGTCGAGTTCTCGAGCGACGCGGCGACGCTCACGCCGCTGACCGGCTCTTTGAGCGAAGTGCTGACCGCGATCGACGGCGCGTCTGCGGCAGGGGGCGGCACGTCCGTGTCGGACGGCCTGGAGCTCGGGCGAGTCGAGGTGAACCAGGGCGCGCGCGCCGACGTGCCTCGCACGATCCTGCTGCTGACGGACGGCGTGCAGACGGTGGACGGCAACGACGACACGGCCATCGCGAAGGCGGCGGTGGTGAAGCAGGACGGCATCTCGATTGTCGCGGTCGGGTTTGGCGGCGCGAATGAGCAGACGATGCGCGCGATCGCGTCGGCGCCCAGCTCCGACTTCGCCTTCTTCGGCGCGTCGATGGACGAGGTGCGGCAGCACTTTGCGTCGGACCAGCTCTGCGAGCTGGCCGCGTCCCCGAAGGCGCCGCCGCCGCCTCCGTCGCTGCCCGCGCCGCCAGGGCTGCCGCCCTCGCCGCCGTCGCCGTCGCCCGCGCCGCCGTCTCCCTTGCCACCGCCCTCGCCGCCGCCACCGTCTCCGCCGCCGCCCTCGCCGCCACCGCCCTCGCCGCCGCCGTCGGCCCCACCGCCTTCTGTGCCGCCACTGCTGTCACCACCGTCGCCGCCCCCACCCTCGCCGCCGCCGCCGTCACCGCCGCCGCCGTCGCCGCCGCCGCCGGCTCCGCCGCCGCCGGCTCCGCCACCGCCCTCACCGCCCCCGCCCTCTCCGCCGCCGCCGTCACCGCCGCCGCCATCACCGCCGCCGCCGTCGCCGCCGCCCAGCCCGCCACCCTCGCCACCACCGCCGTCACCGCCGCCGTCGCCACCGCCGACCCCGCCGCCTCCGTCGCCGCCGCCGTCGCCGCCGCCTAGGCCGCCGCCGCCGTCGCCGCCGCCACCGTCTCCACCGCCACCCTCGCCGCCGCCGCCCTCGCCGCCACCGCCCTCGCCGCCACCGTCTCCACCACCCTCGCCGCCGCCCTCGCCGCCGCCACCGTCACCGCCACCGTCTCCGCCGCCCTCGCCGCCGCCACCGTCTCCGCCACCCTCGCCGCCGCCCTCGCCGCCGCCCTCGCCACCGCCGCCCTCGCCGCCGCCCTCGCCGCCGCCACCGTCTCCGCCTCCACCTTCGCCTCCACCGCCCTCGCCACCGCCTCCCTCGCCGCCGCCACCGTCACCACCGCCCTCGCCGCCGCCCTCGCCGCCTCCGCCCTCGCCCCCGCCTCCCTCACCGCCGCCTCCCTTGCCACCGCCCTCGCCGCCGCCACCGTCTCCGCCTCCGCCCTCGCCGCCACCGCCCTCGCCGCCGCCGTCGGCCCCACCGCCCTCTGTGCCGCCACCGCTGTCACCACCGTCGCCGCCCCCACCCTCGCCGCCGCCGCCGTCACCGCCGCCGCCGTCGCCGCCGCCGCCGGCTCCGCCGCCGCCGGCTCCTCCACCGCCTTCACCGCCCCCGCCCTCTCCGCCGCCGCCGTCACCGCCGCCGTCCTCTCCTCCGCCGCCACCCCCACCATTCATCTCCTGTCTGCTTGATTTCGTCGGATACAACGACATCGAGCAGCGATTCACGTTCATGGGCGACGGAAGATCAACTCCATATGACGGCAACCTGATCGGGGAGTTCCGAATGATGGAGGAAATTGCAACGCAGAGCGCTGCAAACCGATCGCACGATCCCTTTACATGCGCCGTCCAGGCGGAGCCCTGGTACAATTGCCTCGACATCACCAGCTTCATGAATAACGCAATCAACATTTCCGACGACGGCATGGACATTACGCACGGCGCCTCGGGGCAGATATTTGGGCAGACCAGCCTGTGCGACGGCAAGAAGGTCAGCGACAGAATCATAGACGGCTTTGATCTTACCGCGCTACTGTACTACATGACCGGCAGCTTCGCAGATCTCGCTGACATGAACCGCGATCCTTCGGCGGTCGTCACTGGCCTGCAAGGCTTCACGGACGTACACCTCCGCTGCGGAACCAACGAGTCATACTACGGATATTACACTGCCTATGCAAACAACGCATGCACCAACGGCCCGTTCATTGACGGACCCAACAACGCGGATCTCAACATCGACTGGGATCTGTCAGGGCGCGGAACCGTCACTGGCCGCCGTCAGCTGGCGGAAGAACAGGCGCAAGAGGAGGGGGCTCCTCTGAAACTGTGGAGAAGCACCGACGTGTTCCAGCAGAGACAGCAACCCGAGTTTGATCCGCCAAGTGGTGTTAACATCTCCGAGCTCGTGATCCGCACGCGGCTATGGGTCGAGGCGGAAGGCGGCAGCTGGTATCAGATTGCGATTGGCGGTGAGCATGTGTCAGCAAACTTCCAGGTGCAAGGAGTGCCGTGGCCGCAGTCCTTCCCTCGGGAAGCGCGTCTCTCCAACCACGAGCGCTTCCCGAGGGATGGCAAGGCACCGACTCATGATGCGCACAGGGTGCAGCTTCGCTTCGCGAGGCACTGCGAGTACAGAGACGAGTGCAGGTCTGACTGTGCCATCATCACGTCTCAACTCGCAAACGACGTCATGCTCTCGGAGGAGACGCTCATATACCGGCAAGAACGGACAGCAGGGCGGCAGCGCATCTGCGGCATCGACCTCTTCATGTGGGTCCCGGCGGCTCCCGACAGCGGGTCCCGGCGGCTTCAGGACGGGGAGCAAAGCAAACCATGCGTCAAGTTCGGCGTCGCGGTGCCAACAGCAAAGTGCACGCCCGAGACGTGTGAGTGCCGCGATGACGACGTCGAGCCGCTCGCGCCGCCGCCATATCTACCGCCAGCGCTCCCGCCGCCACCCTTGCTGCCGTCACCCCTCTTGCCATCTCCACTGATACTGTCGCAGCCCTCTCCGCCCTCTCCGCCCTCCTTCCCCTTCATCGACCTGGTCGATGATGAGGGCGAGGCCCTCTTCACGGTCATCCACGACAAGGCCTTCACCCTCGACGTGAACGGGACGGAGTTCGCGAGGTACTTGCCTCGTCGCCGCCTCGACGCACTGAGCCCCGTCAGAGAGGTGCGCCGCCTTGCAGGAGCCGCTCCCGTAGAGATCGGCGATGTGCTCATCTTCAAGCCATGGCACGAGTATCCGGACCGGCAAGCTCGCAGCTGCGACGGCGCGGCTGACTTGAGCAGCAACTTTGGCGGCGTGGTCGACCAGAACCTTGAGGTCAGCCTTCGCCTCGTCATCCCGACCTACTATTACCACGGCTGCTTTGCGCGAGGGCCTGTCAGTGCCGGCGGTGATTTGACGGAGCTGACGTTCGCAGTCGCGGCAATCACCGCCGTCGTCGTGCATCTACCTCCGTCCATGCCGCCGCCCGCGCGTCCGCCGCTGCCATCATCGCCGCCATCGCCACCGCTGCTCTCTCCTGCGCCGCCCTGCGGCTGCTCGCCCTACTACGACCTGGAGCGCGGCCTCGCGAGCTCGCCCACCTTCCTCAACTCCACCAACGCGCTCTTTTACACCCTCGAGACCGGCTCTGTCTGGCCGCTCAGCCTCCCCGTCTACGACCCGGCGTGGGGCTGCGCGTGCTCGTCCTCGGTCTGCATCGCGTCGCCAGCCGTGAACCTGAACACGGCGTCGGCCGGCGCCGAGGCGCCGGCGGCCGTCATCAGGTGCATGACTATGCGGTCGCGGTATGCCGCATCGATCTCTCCGTGCTCGGCCAGCTCGTTCGCGAGCCAGTCCGAGGCGACGGTCGTCGCCACGGTCCCCTGGGGAACTGTGGCGTACACCTTGCTGGGGCCGCGTCGATACCCGTCGTCCCTCTCCGGGGGCAGCGAGTATTCGACCCCCATTTTGGACCCGGCCTGGCTGCGCGCCTGCGCAGCTGCAGACCGCAGCCCGGCCATCACGTACTGGATGTTCTCGCGCAGCTGCGCCCGCGGGGCCTCCGCGCGCTCGGCCTCGCTCGCGGCGCGCTCGCCAGCCTCCGTCGCCCGGCGCGCCTTCTGCCGGTCCTTCTTGGCCTTGCGTGCCGCGGCTCGAGCCGCGAGCTGCTCCTTGGTGGGCTCCTTCTTCTTCGGCGCGGTGCGCTCGATGTACGAGCGCTCCGCCGCCTGCACCGACTCGCGGTCGCCCGCGGCCTTCTCGTGCTTCAGGTCGACCTCGATGGTCGCGTAGCCAGGCCTTATCACCCTGACACAAGACGCACCGAACAGCCTTGCGACCATCACCGCGTCCTCCAGTTGCGCGCGATCGGAGCTATTCCAGCGTCCGCTGCGCATCCCCGGCGGCACGACGGTGGCCGGCGCTTGCGCGCCAGCCCCGTCCGCCGCCGGGTCCGCGGCCGCGGTCCCTGTCATAGCTACGCGCGCCATGGAGAACGGCGGGCACCCTCTGCTCGGAGCGCAAAGAGACCGCGCGAGAGCCGCCGAGGGGGGGAAGAAAGAACACAGACCCCGTGTCACGCGGTCCGAGGGCGAGGCCGTGTCCGTGTATATAATTATAGGTGAAAAGTAGCCGCTGGAGCTCCGGGGGACGGCTTACGCGCCCCGCGCCCACCAGCCGACTCGGGAAGCACACCGCTCGCCCCGGTGAACAACTGACACCAGGGAAAGGAGAAGGTATACCTCAGTCAAGAATACGGCGGCATTCCAGGCCTCCTTTGGCCTCACGCCGGCTACTTGACGCAGCTCGCCAGCCACTCGAGCCCCTCGGTGAAGCCGGTGCCCTGGCGGGGGCCAGGGAACCTCGGGTGATCTTGGGCGATCTCGGGCGATATCGCGGCGGTCCTCATCGTGGCGGCTGGAACGATGCCGCAAATGAAGAGGCTAGTTTCGGTGTATCTCGGCGGATCTGCCTGGAAAACGCTGCACATAAAGAGGCGGAGCGGTCGCTGTTGCGCCTGCGGTCCCGCCGCCTGAAGCCGAGATCAGCCGAGATCAGCCGAGATCAGCCGAGATCAGCCGAGATTAGCCCGAGACCAGCCGAGACCAGCCGAGACGCAGCCGCCTGCAGCTCGTCCAAGCCTCGGGTAATCTCGGTCAACCTCGGTCAAAAGGGCCAATCTCGGGCAATCTCGCCTGCAGCTCGTCCAGGCCGAGCGCGAAGTAAATCTCCTCCTCTCGGACCGCGTTGGGCAGGTCGACCTTGTTGCCGAGGAGCAGGACCGGCACGTGCGGCGGCAGCGACCCTGGAATCAGATGTGCGGAGAATGAGGACACGGAGTGGGTGGAGCGTCCGGCACGCGCGGCGACGCGAGCCTAAACAAGACATCCGGCCTCGGAAAAAGAAATGCGCGCGCGCCCGTGCGGTGGCAGCGATCTCCTGCGAGCAGCTTGTGCAGCTCGAGGGCAGCCTGGGCGAGATCAAAGCAGATCACACCCGAGATCCCTCCCGAGATCAAGCGCCGTCCTCGAGCGGAGCCGCATCTCGGTCCATCTCGGGCGATCTCGGGCGATCTCGCGCCTCGGCAAAGCGATCGCGGTCGGCGGCGTCAACAATGTAGACGACGGCGTCCGCCTAGTCTTGTGCAACCTCTGCTCGCCTCGCGCAATTTCGGCCACCGGCGTCGGCGTTGTCTCGGCGGATCTCGGCTAATCTCGGCCGCCTCCTTTGAGTACTCGCGCCACATGCGCCGCGCGATCGCGTGGCCGCCCATGTCGACCGCGCGCAGCTTGAGCGAGCCGACGCGGATCTCGTCCGACACCGGCTGGTGCGTCGGCTCGTGCTGCACGACCTTGGAGCGCACGAGCATCGTGAGGAGCGTCGACTTGCCGGCGTTGTCGAGCCCGATCACGAGGAGCTGCCCCTTCTTCGACCAGATCCCCAGGCTCGCCATCGTGCTCTGCAGCACGCGGCGCCACCAGTCCAGCATGCTGCCGCCGCCGCGCAGCTGGTGCAGCCGCTCCGGCGCGCCGGCACGGCCAGCAGCGCCGGAGCCCGCGGGCATGGCCGTCAGGCCACGCACGGCTGCACGGTCAGCGAAGGAGGGCGCCGCCAGCAGGGCGATCAGGAGCGCCACGGCTCGCACGCCGATCGTGAGTCGCGACCCACTGGTCATATCGTCGCCGAGTACGAGAGCGCCACCTGCACAGCGACGCCGCTGTGTTTCTTTTTCGGCCCGGCTGCGCTCGAACGCGCGGCTCGACACCGAGACGCAAGACACGCTGCTCACCTGGGCCGCTCGGCACGGGCAGGCCGAGGCGGTGCGGCTGCTGCTCGAGGCCGGCGCGAGCGTTGGGGCGACGAGACCGGCCGCGGCGATTCCGCTCTACTCCTTGTGTGCCAGTAGAGCCACGTCGAGTGCGTCCAGCTGCTCCTCGTGGCCAATGCGGCGGTCAGCCAAGCCGATGAGGACGGCTTCACGCCGCTGTACATCGCGTGCCAGAACGGCCACCTCGAGATCGTCCGGCTGCTCCTCGAGGCCAGCGCGGCGATCAATCGAGCACCGCAGCATGGCGCCACACCGCTATACATGGCGTGCGGGAAGGGCCACCTCGACATCGTCCGGCTGCTTCTCGAGGCCAGCGCTTCAATCAATCAGGCCCAGGAGAATGCCGCCACGCCGCTGTACGTCGCGTGCCAGGAGGGCGCCACGTCGACATCGTCCGGCTGCTTCTCGAGGCGGGCGCGGCGGCCAGCCAAGCCCGCAACAACGGCGCCACGCCGCTGTTCATCGCGTGCCAGGAGGGCCACGTCGAGATCGCGAGGCTGTTGCGCGGCGCCGGCGCTTCAATCAATCAAGCCAAGGAGGACGGCGCCACGCCCCGCTGCTCATCGCGTGCCAGGAGAGCCACGTGGCTCGAGTGCGCCCGGCTGCTCCTCGAGGCCAACGCGGCGGTCAACCAAGCCCGCAACGACGGCGTTACGCCGTTGATCATGGCGTGCGCGGAGGACTACCTCGAGGTCGTTCAGCTCCTCTCCTCCTACGGCGCCTCCCGCGCCGCAGTGCCGCCCCTCTGCACGCCCGAGGAGATCGCAACCGAAGAAGGCCACGCCGACCTCGCCGCCTGGCTGGTCGCCAGCCGCGGCTGGACGCCGCTCCAGCACCTCGAGGGTCGAGGCGTGCCCGAGACTAGCGGCTGAAGAAGCGTGAGTGCATTGTCCTCACGCTCACTGTCCCTCTTCCCGCAGGCGGTCACCGTCGACCGGGCGCGGGCGCTGCTGCGCGGCGGCGCGGACTCTTCGGCCGGCGAGCCGTCGGTCCTCGAGCGGGCGCGCGTCCTCTGCGCGTGGGGCGAGAGTCGGATCCGACAGCTGCGGCCGCCGGCTCCAGACCACCGTCGCGATCCACTCTCTCGTCTCGCGGCCGTCGATGAACGGCAAGGTCGGCCTCGTCGTCTCCGCAAGCGCTTCGACGGGCCGCTTCGGCGTGCACGTGGCGGGCGAGGCCAAGGCCCTCGCCCTGAGGCGCGCTATGGCCTCTCCCCCCCACTCGCCGATCCTCTCTTTGGACACGCCCCACGCCTCTGCCCTTCCCCAGGCCCGCCAACCTTGAGCCAGCGGCTGAGGCGGTGGAGGTGGGCAGGCTCATCCTCAAGGCGGCGGAGTGGTCGCCGCAGTCGCACGAGCTCTTCCCGGAGGCGGCTCGCAAGTGGGCGGTCGCGGTGATGCGGCTGGGCTACCTGATCGCGTGGGACGAGGAGCGCTTCGACGGCGAGGGGGCGGCGCCGGGCGCTGGTGGACCTCTGGCGCAGCTTTGTGCTGCCAAGGGTGGTGGTGCGGGTGGGTATCGCGCGCCTTGCGGGGGGGGGCGCGGGCCGCCGCAGACGCGCATCGCGTCCCCATGAGCACAACAGCGTGTCTAGAATTTTACAACAACGTGTCTAGAAACCCAGTTGGGAAGACAACGGCCTGGGCACTTGGAGCACTTGTGGAGTGCAGTCATTATACAGACCCAGGGCCGGGGAGCTAAGAAGCGCACCCAGCGGGCCATGATCGGTCGGTATCGGTGTTTGTCGGAAAGAAAGAAGAAACAAGAAATCTTGCAGCACTTGCTTGGAGTGCAGTTAGCAACCTCACGCCCAGGACCGGGGAGCTAAGAAGCGCACCCAATTGGCCAGACCAGACGAAATCCTGTCGTTTTTTTCTATTCTCGTGAGTTGTGAACAGGTCAACTTGCGAAGTCCGGCCCACACTAGCTAGGTACCCAAATCCGCTACCTCCTGTATCGGGGTTATGGGGGGTTTCCGAGGTGTGAACGTGAACAGAGTAGCCAGATCGCTGTCGATCGTTACGGCACGCATGGGGGGCCTCCCGGACGTATGATCCTAGCCCAATAAGTTCCACGGAGCAGATTTGGATTTTTCACAGAATTAATGCACTGCTCCCGCACGGTACTAATAGTCGTAGTTTTGGGGGCGGCGCCCCTCACGGCACCACACCGCCGCAGGACAGCCCGAGATTAGCCTAGCAGTGAGTGGGAATCGCCTGCCGGTCGGCTTGGCACGAGCCAAGCACTTGGGCGGCCGTCATCCGAGTCCGAGCGGCGCCTGAGGTGGGTGCCACGGCGTCCGCACGAAGGCGTGGCGGGGTGAGGAGCCAGGGGTGGTGAACGCCTCCCCGTCGGGCGCGCGGCGCGCCGGATGGTCCGCCGAGGCCGCCGCCGCCCCGGCGGCGGCGATGGGGGCGGCGGGGCCGACCCGGCCGGCGTTTGTCGGCTCCACCTACAGAAGAGCAGTCTCTGTGGGTCGACGATACTAACTCGGTAGTAACGCTGAGCGGTGCTGTGCGACGCCGCGTCGTGCGCGAGGCGACCTCCTGAGGCTACCTGAGCTGGCTATGGATGCCACCAGGACGCACGGCTAGCAGGAGCCAGTCCGGCATGCCCTGCTGTGGAGCAGAGCCTGCTGGCGCACCGGCGATACTAACTCAGCGCGCCGCGAGAGGCGAATCTGGGCGACTTTGGAGGCGCAGTTCTCGAGGTTGCCGTCGACGATTGATGTCGGGTAACTTGTCACTGCCGTCCGGGGAGGTCTTCTCTCAGCAGGCCGAGCGCCGTGGCATCGCGCTGCTCGCAGCGCTGTCGCGGCGCCGAGAACCCCCAAAACTCGCGAGACCTCGATACTAACAAAGACTACAATACTGCAGGTAGGTCGCAGCTGTGAGCGCTGTCAGAGCGGTGTTTGTCGGAAATCATCAGCAGGACTAGAGCCGTCATGACTCGAGCCCCTCCCATGCTTGCCCTTCTCACGCTCGTGCACTCGACCGCGGCGTTTAGTCCTGCCGCCGTGCACGTTGTGCGCTCTTTCGCACAGCCGCGCCTCGCCACTTTGCGTGATGTGGGAGCGCACAACGTTGCACCCTTGATGTGGGAGCGCGCCGTCCCAGAGGAGGACAAGCACAATCAGAAGCGAAAGCGAATGCCGGCGACGCCGCCCGTGCCCGAAGAGGCCCTCGTCCTCGAGCTCGGCGCCACGCTCGAAGAGCTTCAGGCTGCCGCCGCCGCCGAGCAAGAGGACGGCGCTGACGCCATGGGTGTGGCGCTTGCGGCGGCGAACGAGGCGGATGCACAGGTGCTGCTGGCCGAGGAGGCGGTGGAGCGGGCGCTGGACGAGCTGGCAAAGGCGACGGACGAGGCGGCGACCCTGCGGGCCGAGGCGGAGCGCGTGGCCGGCAAGATGATTGCGAGTGCGGCCGCGCACGCGGCGGCGGCGGCGGCGATCACTGTCTCGGTCGGCGACGACCCCCACCCCGGGTTCCGCGCCAAATACGGCGCGCAGGCGCCGGAGAGGGAGGGGAAGAACCGCGCCGTCCCTCAGAGTGCCGCCAACCGGACCCCCAAAGCAGCGACGCCTCGCCACGGCTCGTGGGACAAGATCCAGAGCCCGACAACGGGAAAGGCGCAGACGCGGAGCCGCAGCGGCGGGGCCGGCCGACCCGAGCAGCCGATCCGAGCAGCCAAGGCGGGGGGTGCGACACCGCCGTCGGAGTCGGAGTCGGCGCCGGGAGACGGACCGTCGGACCTGAATTCGGCATTCGCGCAGGCGGCGGCCACCTGTGCTGCAGCCAGCTCCCTGCCGAAGGCCGTTCCGCCGCCGCCGCCTCGCGCGCTCGCCCCGTGATGCCGCCCCACCGCCCGCCTGCCCCCCCTCCTGCCCGCCTCCCGCCGCCCACCGCCCTCGCCGCCGCCCACCGCCCTCGCCGCCGCCCACCGCCCTCGCCGCCGCCCACCGCCCTCGCCGCCGCCCACCGCCCTCGCCGCCGCCCACCGCCCTCGCCGCCGCCGCCCTCGCGTCGCAGGCCGTGTCTTCGGGCGGGCTGGCGGGAGGGCCTGCGCGCACGCGCACGGGCAAGCCTCGGCAGGGTGCCCTCGGAGGCAAGCTGTTGCCTGTCGCCGCTGCCGCCTCCGCTCGCTCGCTCTCTCTCTCTCTCTCTCTCTCTCTCTCTCTCTCTCTCTCTCTCTCTCTCTCCCTCTCTCCCTCTCTCCCCCTCCCTCCCCCTTCTCTCTCTCTTTGCATGCGCACCCCCCCCTCCGCCTCTCACCGCTGCATGCGCCCCACCGCCGCCGCCTCCCCCACATCTGCGTGTGCACGGCGCCGCTGCGCTGCCGTAGCCGCTGGGCGCGATGCGACTGCTGTGTATGCCTCACCCCGCTGCCGCCTCCCCCACCACAGGCACGGGGCACGAGGGGGCAAAGCCGAGGCGCGCCGCACACACACTCACACTCACGCCGCTCACCCACGCGCATTGGGCCTTGCACTTCAATGCCGTGGGGCTCTGTCGAGGCTGCCCCGCCTCTTGCCCCGCCACCTTGTGTGGGTGGAGAGGTGTGGCGTACCTTGCCCAGGCGCACGCCGGCGCAAGCGTCCCCCGGCGGCAAGAAGCCCGAGGTGGTTGGGCTTGGGCCGGCATCGACGGTGGTCCGGGCGGCGGCCAAAGCGGCGGCCAGGGCGGGTGGGCGGCGGCCGGGGCGGCGGCCGGGCGCTCAGGGCGGCTCGCAGGGGCAGGGCGGCAGCGGGCTGCAGGAGGGGGACGGCGTCCAACACCGGTGATGCCTCTCAGCATGCAGCGCGCGCCAACCACGCCAACCCGCTCATTGCGTGCGTGTTGAGCGTGTGGTCGCTCCTCGCTGCTGGAGCTGGGCGTGGGGCCCTGGACTGGCCAGCCCGTTTTGCACAAGGAGTGTTGCGGCCCTACGGTTTTAGTTCAAATTCCGGGGTAACCAACATCAAGAAAGAGATTTCCCGTTTTTCGTTATACAAGAAATGATCGAAATTCCAAAAAAGATGATGGCAAGATATCCACAAGAGTGGGGGAGCGGGTGAGGCGAGCCGGGATGTCGTGGATGAGTCGAGGGGCATATGAGCGGTGGTGGGGATCGGCCGGGGGATGCGCGAGAGCGGGAGCGAGGCGGTCGAGGCTCGAGCGAGGCGAGACCGCATTAATCATCATGTAGAGCCGATTGCATGTGTACTTGAGAATTGATATCTTGAGTATGTCCGTGGCCATGCAACAGGCCAGCAAAGTCCGAAGTATACCGAAGTCGTGACCAGCTGCCCCCGTGCCCCCTAGCGCTAGCTAGTGCCCTATGAGCTATATGTGACATGACACACAGGCCCTCCCCCGAGTCCGAAGTCGTGACACTAGCTATACGACGAGTCCTGGCAGCACTAGATCGCATGGCGCAAATACGTGGCGGGGGGGCCTGCCCGTGGACGGACGCGGGACGTGCCGTCGAAGATGCTTCGCGGCTTGCCCTTTCTGGCGCTGACCGCGGCTGCGAGCACGAGCAACCTCGATGCTACAGAAGCGAGGCGCCTGAATCCGATTGCTGACCCATTAAAGGATGGACTTCGGGGGATTGACACGGACCTCAAAATTGGGGCATGGGAGTCGGCGGACCCCCTCGCGAAGTATGTCAAGCGGGAATTCAATATGGACTGCTTCAGCTCAGACCTGTACAAGCTGATCCTGGAGAACTACAAGGGGAGCTTGTCTGAGGTCGAGGGGGGAGAGGCGAATGTCAATGACGACTACACGACGACCATCGTGATTGAGGCGCGCAATCCCTCACGACCTAGCACACATCGCCCTGTCCCCGCGCTGGGGTGATCCGGTTCGCCATTCCTGCGTTACGGTGGCCGACCGCAGGGTGCATCAAAAACAGTAATGATCATCGTGATGGCCAGCATCCTCGGCGGAGGCCTCCTCCTCATCCTCTTTGGCGAGTGCCTCGTGAACACGGCATTGGTGCGGAGAGTAGAAGCTCGGAGAGGTCTGCGCAGCTATTGATTTGGCCGAAAGCAACATGGAGCCATAGGGCGGGCATGGAGCCATAGGGCGGGTACAGGACCGGGGCAGTGAATGGCCAACACCCTGTGCTGCAGGTACTCGTGGCGTTCATCTTTGCGTTCGCAGGCATCAGAGAGGGGGAGCAAACGCCGAGGAGCTGCCACGCCAATCACCCTGCATTGTCCACGCAGGCAGCCTCTGGCTCTGGAACATGGCCTTTGAAGGAAACGACGAAGAATGGATGAGATGCATGCTTCCCACGTGGCTGCGTAAGATGCTAACACCATGTGCACCGGAACCAGGGTAGCTGAGCCACCTGACCATCACGGGAGCATTGCGCATGATCTCGCGCACACCCGCTCTCGGCGGCGCTGCTCCAGGTGGCTGTCCCTCGGGTGCGCCATTCTCGTCTCTATTCTCGCCATCTGCCTCGCTCAAAAGTTCGTCACCCTCGCGTTTGTCATCGCGGGAGCTGTCGGCGGCGCGATCGGGATGGTGACGCTCAAGAAGGTGATCGTCGACGCCAAGCCGGAGATTGCGGAAGAGGACATCATGGACTACTACTGGATCTTCATCATCGTCGGCGCTATCCTTGCTGGCGCCGCATAGCCCCCCCCCCCCCCCCCCCTCAAAGCATCGGCGCCCCGAACCATCCATCTACCATCACCTCGTGCGCTAGGCCTCATCTCCCTCTGCCTCAAGAAGACGGTGATGATCCTGGTGACGTGCGTCATCGGCGGCTACGCGGTGGCGACAGGCGTGTACGGCATCATCCCGGTGCTCGGAGGCAGCGTGCCAGGGGTCTGGGTGTTTTACCTGGCGTTTGGTCTCGCCACCGGCCTCGGAATCCTCTTCCAGCTTTGCGTCACCCGCAAGTACGCCAGTCGCCACGCCAATCAGACGCCGCACGGCTCCGATGCCGGTGCTCACTCCGCCACTTGCCTTACGCCGCAGGTGTTGCGGGGGCAAGGATCGCGACTCCTCCTCGGCTGGCGATCCCAAGAGCGACCGCGGGTCCATGCACTGAGAGCAGCAGCAGGCTCTATTTTTGTGAGGCTCGGTGAGGCCCGAGGGTCATTCGCAGAGAGCTAAGTGCCCCACCGGCACCGCACAACGCTGCGTCCCGCCAGCTATCACGTCGCAAGCGTATGTCGGAGAGCTGTCAGACACTAGACAGGGGAGAGCGAGTCGAGGTGCCAGGTGGTGTGGTGGGGAGAAGTGCGAGTCGTGTGAGCCGCGCCCTGGCCGCCGCGCTTCACCGGACTGCGGACACCGCTCTATGCGCCCCCCCCCCCCCCCCCCCGGCTGTATACTGTTTTCGCGCCGCCCTTAGTTTTGCAATCCCACCGTCAAAATCAGATGATTGCACGTGAGGCCTCTCCGCCGCAGCGGTCGGCTCCAATATTGTTTATGGCGAGTATACCCCGCGACAGATATTTGTCATGTGCACCTGATGACGGCCGCCGACGCCTCAGCGCCGGCCGACGCCGTGTTCAGGTTCACGGCTGGCGAGACGATGCAGACCTCTCGCCCGACCTCCGCGTCTGTGCTTGCTTGTGCGTCTTGGGTCCGGGGTTGTGTTTTTGTGTGGAGACGTTTACCTTACCTTACCCGCTTTTATGGCGAATACTGCTCGGGCGACTCATGTACCGGGACGTGTAGCGGACAACGCCACCGCTGCGGCTTCCGCTGTCCCCGCTGCGTCGCAGAACTGCTCAGCGCCTAGCTGCAGGGCGTCCGCCGCGGCAGTGATGAGCGCTGTCAGGTCCTGCCCACGCGGCACTGCAGCCTCGGCCTCAGGCTCGTCCTCAGACCCTGAAGAGTCAGCTCCGCCCGGAGGCCTGCCATACCGCTGCGCCTAGAGCCAGACAGAACGAAGCGTGACGAGAGTGCGTGGTTAACGCACAGGCGGTATACTTCCTCACCGCTGCCGCCGCCTCCGCTGGACTGCCACCGTCAGCAAGTACTCTCTGCGCGGCTGCGATCGCCAGTTTGAGGCGTCGGCTCGCCTCGCGAGTCATGTATGGCCCGTCCTTGACGATACCTCGCCTCGTCGCAGCACGCGCCGCTGCCGGGCTCGCGCGTGGGCTCGCGCGTGGGCGCGCTGGGGGCATGTCTTTCTTGCTTGCACAAGATTCTTGCTTGGGGATGGAAGGTTCGGGCTCCGAGGTGTTAGGGGTACCAACATCGGGAGGCGGCCAGGGCTCATAGACTCGGTCGAGAGACCCCAGATTGGCATCCATGCCTCTCTGGACAGGGTGGCCCGCCACAACGACCCCTGGAATTGCGACTCGCCGCTTTCCTCCCGCTGTGTGAGCTCTGTGTCTTGATTTGCCAACAATAGACCTTACACCTTACACCTTACCTTCCGGAACGTCGACATGCGCGAAAGTTTCACGGCAACCCCTAGGGTACAGGTCCTGGCTTCGGTTTCGCAACAGCTTCGTTTTCACAACACGGCCGCCTCGCGACGCCGCGCCGTCGTGCAGATCGTGTCCGAGCCATCCACAAGGCCGCCGGCACATGTGCCAATGTGTGCCCGGAGCGCAGGGAGTCGATGGGTGCCGCAGTCCAAGCGATCACTGCACTGCAGTGCTCGCTCGCACTGCGGCGCTGCGCCACGGCGGCGAAGCATGTCTGGACTTCAAGGACAGTGCTTCTCCGCTGCTCGAGGCTTGCGGCAAGGTCCAGGCCGACCACACAGAGCACCCGAGGCAGCTGGCGTGGCCTCACTCATGACCTGTGCTACCCGTCGGCGGGGCCAGCTGCGGTTTCACAACGCGCCTCATTTTTGGCACCCTCCTGCTAGCCGCGCATGAGTAGGGAGACCGTGTGTGGTGTCTTCGCGGCCTAGAGCACCTTCTTGGCAGTCTATACTGCGCACAGCGGCGCGCTCGGCGTCGTCGGGCAGCGAGCTGTCCAGGAGCCGAAGTCGAGGCGGCGTCGCGGCGAGAAGGCCCGCGACAGTATCGAAGCGGCCGCTGTGAGTCGGCATCGTGTCCGCGGCTGTGTACGGCGGCTGTGTCCTGGGTTCGAACCCTGTTGTAACGTGGGCGGTACGGCCGCTCCAGCGATTGACCATACCCCCCCACCCGTCGAGCAGGCCGCCTCCGGCGGCCAGGACCATACCCCCCACCCTTTTGGCCCCGAGGTACCATACCTTACCCCGCAAAAAGTTCGAATCCAGCACCTATCTATTCGAGGCAAGCGCGAAGCCTGCCGACGCCGCTCCGGGTCCAATGCTGCGGCTGTCGCTGCTGTCTGCTTTCGCGCGAGGCGCGTACGGCATGACCACGGCCGCCAGGCCGAAGCTCGCGATGCGCACTCTCGGTTCGTCCAACCTGGAGGTTACGGAAGCCTGTCTTGGGACGATGACCTGGGGCGTGCAGAACTCCGAGGAGGAGGCGCATGCTCAGCTGGACTACGCCGTCAAGGAGTGCGGCGTCAACTTCATTGACACAGCGGAGCTGTACCCCGTCCCGCTCACGGCGCCAGAGTGGAGGGCAGGCAAGACGGAGGAGTTCATCGGAAGCTGGCTCAGCGCGAATCCAGAGTGGCGGGAAAAGATCGTCCTCGCCTCCAAGGTGGCAGGCTTCATGCCCAACTCACGCGTCGCCGCCGAGCGGACAGTGCCGCCGACGGACCCGCCGCCAGACTGCCGTCTCGACCGCAGCTCGGTCTTTCCATCACACACACACAACACACACACACATGCACATGCACATGCACATGCACATGCACATGCACACACACACACACACACACACACACACACACACACACACACACACACACACACACACACACACACACACACACACACACACACACACACACACACACACACACACACGCAACACACACACACACACACACACACACACACACACACACACACACACACACACACACACACACACACACACACACACACACGCACCACACACACACACACACACACACACACACACACACACACACACACACATGCACACACACACGCACACACGCACGCACACACGCACACACGCGCGCGCGCACACACACACACACACGCACGCACGCACACACACACACACACACACACACACACACACACACACACACACACACACACACACACACACACACACACACACACACACACACACACACACACTGCTGCGCCTCCGGAACCTTCTCCGAACCTTCTCGGAGCCTTCCCACCAGGTGCGTGCGGCTTGCGAGGCCTCGCTCCGCCGCCTGCAGACCTCGTACGTAGACCTGTACCAGCTGCACTGGCCGGACCGGTGCGCCGAGAGGAGCCGAGAGGAGCCGAGAGGAGCCGAGAGGCGCCGAGAGGCGCCGAGAGGAGACGAGAGGAGACGAGAGGAGCCGAGAGGAGCCGAGAGGAGCCGAGAGGAGCCGAGAGGAGCCGAGAGGAGCCGAGAGGAGCCGAGAGGAGCCGAGAGGAGCCGAGAGGAGCCGAGAGGACGACCATGGGCTGCTGTCGCGTGGGCGGCGAAGTCTCGCGAGAGGACTCACTTCAGCCGGCCCTGTCCAATCTCGGCCAAGCCCGGCCGACCCTGTCATCACCGGTTGCAATCACCTCAAGCCGGCCCTGTCCCCCGGGCACGTTCCAACCTCGGCGAGTCTTCGGCTCATCTCTCGGCTCATCTCGGCCAGTCTTCGGCTCATCTCTCGGCTCATCTCTCTCGATTCATCTCGACGAAATTCGTCGAGTCCCGGAGAACCTCGGCGAGTCCCGGCGATGCATCATCTCGCCCCCCCCTCCGAGGTACGTTCCGGCCTTTGGCGCGACGACGTACGACTTTGGGCGGGAGCGCGACAGTGTCGCGGTGGAGGAGACGGCGAGGGAGATCAAGGCGCTGATCTCGACAAGGGGCGGGCGAGACGCGGGCCGAGGGCACCCCGGAGAGCAGCCGAGATGAGGCGAGATTAGGCGCTGCTCGAAGAGGGCAAGATCCGGGCGTACGGCTTGTCCAACGAGACGCCGTACGGCGAGAGTCGCCAGAGAGTCGCAGAGAGTCGCAGAGAGTGGGCGAGAGTGGGCGAGAGTGGGCGAGATTCGATCCGGCCTGTCCAACAGACGCGGCTTGTTCCAGGGGAATCTCGGCGAATCTCGGCGAATCTCGGCGAAGCCATCCACCGTGACGGGGTTCGTGGGTCGCCAGGCGTGTGTCAGTGGGCGGCGGTTGCCGCGAAGCTCGGCATGCCACCACCGGCGCGATGCCATCCAGAACGCGATTCGCTGCTCACGACACACACACACACACACACGCACACACACACACACACACACGCACACACGCACGCACGCGCGCACGCACACGCACACACGCACACGCACACGCGCACACACGCACGCGCCAGCAGCACCTCGCTCGGAACTTTCTCCGAACCTTCCCGCAGGCGACCATCCAGAACGCCTACTCGCTGCTCACGCGCGGCTTCGAGGAGGCCCTCGCCGAGGCGCGAGATGTAGCCGAGATATAGCAGCCGAGATATAGCTGAGATGTGGCCGAGATATGGCCGAGATATAGCCGAGATAGGCGCTCGCTGAGGCGTGCTCGCCACCACAGCGTAAACCTCTCGCCACACACCCGTCTCCGTCCGCCTTTGCACACACCCGTTGACACCACCGAGGCCGCGTTGACATCACCCGGCGGCACGGGTCACGCTTGAAGCCGCCGCTGCTCCTCCGCGCCGAGGCGTGCTCGCCGCGCCATCACAACGTCGGGCTGCTGCCGTGGAGCGTGCTCTGCGGAGGGCTCCTCACCGGAAAGTGCCGCCGGTGCTCCGCTCTCGGCGCATCTCGGCGCGCATCTCGGCTCACCTCGACGAATCTCGCGCCTCAGGTACCGGCAGGGCGCGGCCGCCCCTGCCGGGAGCGGCGCGCGCTTCGTCGCCTTTGGCGATTACATGTCTCGCTGGCACCCCAGCCACGCGCGGCAAGAGACGCTGCAGGCGGCGGACGCGTACAGCGCGATTGCAGAGGGGGCGGGGCTCACGCCGTCCCAGCTGGCGATCCTCTGGTGCCGGACGCGGCCCTTCATCGCGACGCACGGCGCCGTCATCATCTGTGGCACATCCCCCCCCCTCGCAGCCGCGTCCACTCACAGCGTCGGCGGTGAACAGGCGCCGTCATCATCGGGGGCACGTCGCTCTCGCAGCTGGAGGAGAACCTCGCGGCGTTCGCGCTGCCGGCGGAGGCGCTCACCGAGGAGATGGTCGGCGCGATCAACGAGGTGCACATGCGATGCCGCGACCCGAGCAACAGCCTCTGAGCACAACGGCCCGGATCGCGATCCTCGCCCGGACGCCCGCGCGCATTACGAGGCGGCACTCGTGACGCATTTAGTTCTCCTATTTTTATCCTATTTCCTATATGCTCCTTCCGACGCTCGAGTGATCACACCGCTTCTTCACATGTCAAGCGGCGAGCGACCGAGCAGGGGCGTGGGGCGCTTGCCCTCATGCCGCCCCGCTCCCCTGGGCTGGATTCGGGACCAGCGAGGGCTGGGTACAGCCCCTTGGAGTGTGAAGGCTTCGTAGCCCTCCGGTCTACTGGGAACGAAGATCCGCAGGACTGGAGCGAAAAAGGGAGGCAGGGGCGAGGGCGCCCCTGGCCACCGTTACGTCTCGGTCCTCGAGGAGGGCACTCGCGCGCCTCTCGTCTCGCGCTTTGGCTCTGACATCGACCGCAAGATCTCCGTCGTCTCGCGCCTGATGCGATGCGTGGCCACGCTCCATGAGGTCAAAAAAAACTGTTCTCCGCTTTTTCTCCCCTAGTCATCTGCCCGCGCCGCGCGCCTCTGTGGCGGCCAGGGGCGTGCGCGAGACAGGGGGCTCGAAGCCCTTTTCTGTGAGCAGGGATTCCCTCCCGGCGGGGGTTGTGGCGGAGAGCCGGCATGGGAATCGCCGGCCCCCACCCAGGGGGTGCCCCTGCCAGGCGCCGCAAGCGGCGCCCGACAGGGGCGGGTGCCCCCACCCCGAGGGGTGGGGGCGGGGGCGGGGCCCAAAGTGATTCGGCCTATCGCCTCGGCAAGGTCCTCGGTGCGATTCTCCACGGTGTCGTCGAGCGAAAGCGCGGTAGCCGCGGAGGTGATGACGTCGACATCGGTGGAATCGGCTGGGTCAACGTCAATGTCGATAGCTCTTTCACGCCGGATCCCCTTGTTGTCTCCAATGTGTCGCGCCTGCGCGCTCGGCGTGTGTATGAAATCCATATCACCCCCTGCTCCACGATGGGGGCTTTAGGCGACGAGGGCGGGGCGCTAGGCGGCGGTTCGTTTTCGGGGGAGTCGGGTGGGTCATCGGCGTAGCTAGAGGCCCCATCACCGATGTCGTCGAGTGGGATGGTTGTACCTCCTCCGTTAATACCCACGTCGTCGCCCACGGTGCTGCTCTCCCCGTCGTCTGCGTCTGTTGGGACAGACTCGTCTTGCCACTCCGGTGCGCCGCAATCCCTCGCGCCGCTCCTGCCGAGGGCAGCTTTCTTATCGACGTAGTCGTTCCACTTATGACCACTGTGCCCCTTGACGTGTCTCCATGTCACTTCGTGCCTCGACGCTAAATGCCGCCACGCTGCTCGAAAATAGCTCGCTAGTTGTGCGTTCTCCCCCGGCGAGATTCTCCCCGTCGCACACGCCATCGCGTACTCGCTGTCCGTTCGGACCACCCCTCGTGAGCCTGCTGGTCGTGGTGCCGTGTGGAATAGTGAGCGAAAAAGCTCCGCAAGCGCTGACAATTCTGCCGTGTTATTGGTGGGTTTCCGCGCCCCCACGAAAGCGGCGTGTACGGGGCTAGTCACGACGGGGCCGTAGCCTTCGGTCACGAGCTCACAAGATGAAGAATTTAAACAAAAGAACTCTCTCTCACAGCACACAGGCTCGACACAGGTGCGAACTGGCGCGTGCTAGTACTATCACCGGCACACCACCGGAGCCGCCTAAGCGACTCCGTTAAGAACGGCAATGCACTTAGCACCGTGCACGATGCCGCTGTCCCCGCACGCTAGCTCGTTCACCGTCTGCCACGCCACGGCGGTGTGGAGAACGACAGACAAGCGCTGCATCTGCAGCCCGTGCCAGTTCTTGGTGGTCCATGTGACCTCATCGAGGTGCTGAGCGTGCGAAAGTTTGTTACTCAGCTGGTCCGCCGCCTGCCGAAGAATTTTGCGGACGCCGTCCCCGAAGCCGCCGAACGTCTCGAAGTCGAGCAAACGCAGGTCGCAAGATGAAGAATTCCTGACCCGCGACATGACTTTGTGGCGGCTTCGCGCCGCGCGTCTTGCCTCCGCGTCGGTGGCCCTGTGCGGCGCGTTGGAAACCGAGAAACTCCTCCGAAACAATCCGGAAAAGACTGCGCGGCACTCCTCTCGGTGCGAGCTTACGGATGACATGGCTGCTCGGTGCGAGCTTAGCGACGTGGACGACGGCACTGTGTTGACACTTGAGAAGCTCTACGCTCGCCTTCCTGACGTGAACGATATACCCATCGTGGAACAAAATCAAATCGACGACTCTGGAGGCTCCGAAATTTACGGCGAACTCACGCCGCGAGGGGTGCGTGAAGTGCGAGAACTCCTCTCGCCGCGGAAGGACGACGTCTTTTACGACCTGGGAAGCGGGGCTGGACGTTTTGTGCTGCAGGCGGCGCTGGAGTGGCCATGCAGCCACGCGGTGGGGATTGAGCTGTCTCGCACCCGTCATCGAGTCGGCGAGGTGGCCCTCTCCCGCACCGCGCCCTTTGTGCGCCAACGTGCCACCCTGCGCTGCGCGGACATGCTCACGTGTGAGGGATGCGAGGACGCGACGCTAATCTACGTTGCGTCGCTGGTATTTGACGACGCATTCATGCGGCAGCTGGGCACGCGGCTGTCGCAGCTTCCTCGCCTTCGCGCCATCGCGTCGCTGCGTCCCTTTCCTCCTGGAGCACTGCCAGAGTTTGTGCCAGCCAAGCGGAATGCGGCGCCAGACTCGGACCCGGCGACCCTCCGAGAGCGCGTCGAGGCGACGTGGGGCGCAACTCGCGTGTTTATCTATGCGAGGGAGACGTGAGCGGGGAGACATAGGTCAGGTGCTGAGGCAGATCCCCACAATCGGCTCTCCGCCGGACCCTCATCCCGCTGCTCGCCCGCGTTCCGTGGCTCTCTAGACTCTTGTCTGTTGCGCTTCTCTCTAGACTGGCTACTGTATATCTCTCACAATGAGCTGAAACAGAGCACACCACTCACCAGCATGTCTCGTAACCGGAAATGACACCCACCCGATCGGAGTCCCGCACGCCCGCAGCCGCACGCAGCGTGAGCGGCTCGAGCGCCCCTTGACGCTTGAGCGTATTCATCGTCCTACCCCACCTCCCCCCACTCCCTCCGAGGCGCCACCCGCCACAAAAACTCTAGCCCGCGCCACGCGAGCATGCTCACACACCGCCAGGGCGTGGGGCTTTGAGGTGCTTCGCCCCCCCCTCCCCCTCTCTTCACCACTCCTTGCCCCACGACTCGTCGTCCACCCGTTGCTACCGTTGCTGCCGTTGCTCTCGTCGCTGCCCTGCGCGGCGACCGGCGTGGTGCGACTGGCGGGAGTCGCAGTCGACATCGAGTGCCTAGTTCCGTCCCGCTCCGGTGGTTGAATGTGAACCGCGCTGATCTCCGTCGGCGACGGCGGAGAGCCCAGAGGAGCCGGCGGAGAGAGTGCCCGAGTCGGAAGAGTGGCCTATCGATCACTGGCCATCGATGGCTGTCTGACTAGCTGGGAGTGGAGGGTGCGCGAGTCGGAGGGGTGGCCCTTGGCCGAGTTGGTCTCCGAGCCGACAGACATGACGGCGGGAGACCTAAGCAGTGGGAGGAGTGAGTTGTTCACTATTGTTGACTGGTGGGTCAGGCTCCCGAGCCGACAGACATAGCGACGCGCGACCCCAAACCTCGTCCATCTCTGATTCACCAAATGAGCTAACTGACTACCGATGATCATTCGCTCACCCCCAGCCATCGTCCATCTCGCCCCAGTCGTCGCCGCCGGCCGCAGATGCCGCCGCCCCCTGCTCTGGTAGCTTCTCCTTGACACCAGCCTCCGCCGCCGCCGTCTCTGCAGCCGCCGCCGCCGCCGCCTCCGCCTCCGTCGCCGCCGCCGCCGCAGCAGCAGCAGCTTCGGCCTCCTCCGCCGCCGCCGCAGCAGCAGCCTCGGCCTCCGCCGCCGCCGCTGCCTGCCTCGCCGCGGCGGCCGCCGCCGCAGCAGCAACAGCCTCCTCCGCCTCCTCCCTCGCCAGCTCCGCGGCGAGCGCCTCCTCGACCTGAAGACTCAATGGTCAACTCATCAGCTAACCACGCCTCGCCAGCTCAGTGCCGAACGCCCCCCCCGACCTCGCGGGCCAGCTCCTCCTCCGCCGCCGCCTGCCGCGCCGCCTCCTCCGCCTCAGCTCTCCTCGCCGCCGCCTCTGCCGCCTCCGCCTCCGCCGCCGCCGCCGCCGCCGCCGCCGCCTCCGCCGCCGCCGCATCTGCCCTCGCCGCCGCCTCCGCCGCCGCCCTCGCCGCCTCCGCCGCCGCCACCTCCTCCGCCGCCACCCTCTCCGCCTCCGCCGCCGCCAGCTTTGCAGCCATCGCCGAACGCATCGTGTGCACCTTTGCCCTCTCCAGCCGCCCCCGCACGGCCGTCGTGGTGCAGCTCCAGTCAGGCTGCCCGCAATGGCATCGGCAGTGAGGCTGCCGCTGCCACCGCCGACACGTTGGTGCCGGAGCCGTCAAGCAGACCCCTCGCACGTCTCGCGACCTTTGGAGCTACTTGCGCGCAACCGGCTGGCGCGAGGAGCAAAAGGGCAAGAGGGCGAGCAATACAGCACGCGCGCCGTGCGGTGAACCGGGTCGGCATTGAGGCTTCTGACGCCCTCGTCCACACACTCTCACTCAGAAGTGAGTTTTACCAAAGACGAAAGTGAGTTTTAAGCCAAACCCTCTCCGGAATCTCCCCCTTGACCCTTGGTTTCCCTCACCGCAACGCTCAAGGTAGTGACTCCCCGCCGCCAGGACCCCCCTCGCCCTCGTAGCCGTCCCGCTCCGCCGAGTACCGGGCCGCGTAGGCGCGGAGCAGCGACGCGCGCTCGCCGCGCGCGATCGTCCGCCGCATGAGCGGGACGTAGTACGCGTCGTCTGTCCTGAGGGGCGGGATCGGCTGCTCGCCGAGCAGTTCGCTCGCGCGCAGCCGCCCCTCCGCCACGTCCGCGCACGCCTAAGGGAAGGGGGAAGG